GTGCGTGTGTGGCTGCCGCGAGTGTAGCCAGTGCTTCTGGGCCGGTTCTGGCACTGTGAATTGCTTTTCCCAGCAAAGCAGGGGCAGAAATTTTCCCCGCTGCTGGAGGAAGCGGTGGCTGAACAAGGGCGGCAGAAGAGGAGAGGGTGCCCTGAGCACCCAGGGCATGGAAGGAGGAGAGGGGGAAGGGGCTGTCGCGGGGTGGGATATGGTGCTCACAGAGAGAAAGGGCTCGTTCCTGGGCTGGGGGGCCGCGCGGCACCGTCCCCCTCTCCCAAGGGCTGACCGTGTCTCCCGGCTTTGCCAGCGGAGCCAGCGCGGCAGCAGCCCAGCAAGCGCCGGAAAAGGAAGATGTCGGGGGGCAGCACCATGAGCTCCGGCGGGGGAAACACCAACAACAGCAACAGCAAGAAGAAGAGCCCGGCCAGCACCTTTGCCCTGTCCAGTCAGGTACCTGTAAGCATCCCCTTTCCATTCTCTCTTCCTTTCCCAAGGGCGAGGGGAGGGCTCCCTGCCCCAGGCAGTGGCTAAGGGGAGACCCACAGGGGTGGCTGGAGCAGGAGGACCCTGGGGACGGTCTGGCCAAGCCCCCCAGCTCTGTTGTGGCGATGGGGAGATGAGGGGGGACCCCCTTTTGCCTCAGCCATGCCTGAACCATAGGAGAGCCCAAGGAGGGGAATAAGGAGACGGTTAGTGGGGGCCGGCGGCCAGGGCTCCCCCCACCTCGATTATGTTTCGGGACCGTCTCCCCTTTCAGGATGTGATGGTGGTGGGCGAGCCCACGCTGATGGGGGGGGAGTTTGGGGACGAGGACGAGCGGCTCATCACCCGGCTGGAGAACACGCAGTTCGACGCCGCCAACGGCATCGACGACGAGGACAGCTTCAACAACTCGCCAGCGCTGGGGGCCAACAGCCCCTGGAACAGCAAACCGCCCTCCAGCCAGGAGAGCAAGTCAGAGAACCCCACGTCGCAGGCGTCGCAGTAACGGCCCGGCGGCCGCCCCGTGGACTCAGTCCAAACCGATCTACCTGTACATTTGCAACGGAGAGTGACCGGGAAGCGGCGAGGTACCGGGGGCGGATCGGCGCCGCGCGGCCGGCTGCTCGCGCAGCCCGAGC